GCTGGCGGGGACCGCCGGCAGCCCGATGGCGTCCACGCGGGCCGAGTCCGACCAGAAGGTGGGTTCCTGGGAGGCTCAGCAGTCCAGACATGCAACGTCTTGAACAAGTCAGGGCGGAGGAAGAGGAGGAGGAGGAGGAGGAGGAGGAGGAGGAGGAGGAGGAGGAGGAGGAGGACGACGAGGAGGAGGAGGAGGAGGGGGAGGAGAAGGGGCCCCTTCCCGCCGAGGCGGGAGGGCAGCGGGGCCCCGAGAGGGCAGGGCAGCGAAGGGGAAGGGCCTCCACGCCACGAGGGGGCCGCTGCAGCGTCAGGCGGCACCCAGGGGCCCTTGCTGGGCCCCAGCTACTATCCCCTCCTCCTCCTCCTCCTCCTCCTCCTCCCTCCTCCTCCTCCTCCTCCATTCCTCCTCCTCTCCTCCCTCCTCCTCCTCCTCCTCCCTCCTCCATTCCTCCTGCTCCTCCTCCTCCTCCTCCTCCTCCTCCTCCTCCGCCTCCTACCCCCTCCCACCCATCCCTTCCCATTGCACCGATTCCGTCAACAGAAACGGCGCGGGGTGGAAGCCTGGCCCCGGGGAAGTTCGGGGCTGCCGGGGGACTGCGTGTCGACATGGCCGAAATCAGGATGTCGCATATCTTCAGAGCCCCGAGTCATCCAGGGTAACTCGGGTCAGGGCTAACTCGGGTTCGCTTTCGGGAGTCCGAACCCGAGTTATCCCGGACCCGAGCTACCCCGGATATTTCGGGCGTCCAGAGCCCCGAATCATCAGGGGTAACTCGGGTCAGGGCTAACTCGGGTTCGTTTTTCGGGAGTCCGAACCCGAGTTATCCCGGACCCGAGCTACCCCGGATATTTCGGGCGTCCAGAGCCCCGAATCATCAGGGGTAACTCGGGTCAGGGTTAACTCGGGTTCGCTTTTCGGGAACCCAAACCCGAGTTACCCCGGACCCGAGTTACCGCGGATAATTCGGGCGTCCAATATCTGGGGGCATATCCGTGGTTATCACCCGGCCTGACCGGGTATGACCCCGTGCAATCCTGCGTCATCCCGCGTCATCCTGCTTAATCCTTGGCTGAATCCGGCCTGATCCGGCTTAGTGGCCCTTCAGTCGGGACCATTCGGTCCTCAGTCGTTCTTGCGAAGATTCCCCAGGCCCTGAGACTCGACGTTGCGAACAAATCGCGATATTTCGAAACATCACTACTACAGGAGCCCTACCATGTGATCGTTTTCTTATTTATTGTTTTGCCGATCGGCGCGGGCCCTCGCACTGCCCCCCTCCCCCCCGCATGGAGTAGATCTTGGGTGTTTCTGGCGCCTGTTTCGAGCAGGTGGAGCCTCCCCCATGATGAACGCCCTGTTGCAAAAACGTCGCACTAAGCAGAGGTCTGGATGGATCCAGACCCCCGGCCCTCCCCCCCCCCCTTCCGCCCAGTGTCGCAACGCCGAATAAGAAAACTCGGGCCCGCGGCTGGGCCGGCGCGGCTGCTGCGGAAACAAAAACTGCCCTTCTGGTTTTTTTTTGGGGGGGGGGAAGCTGCCTCCCAAAAGGTGGACGAGCTGGCCGAGACGCTGCCGACCAGCGGGTCCCCGGGCACAGCGAATGGCCACGATTGCACATCGGTCGTTGAAAGCAGGCATTTTCGGATTTCCAGATTACAAGCTACTTTGAGCGCCTTCCTACTTCAATGATCGAGTGGCTTCACCTCTTCCGTTCTCTGTAGGGTTTCGACGGAACCCAATCTACTTTCAACGCCTTCCTACTTCATGTTTCTAGCTACTTTTTCCGACCGATGGGTACAACTAAGTTGATTTTGTCGGGAGGGCCCTTCGGGGAAGAACCCACCGACCTCGACATGAATACAGTCGTCATGGTTGTGGTCGAGTTTGGCCGTCCTGGACGCCCACATCGGCTACGTTTCCAGCAGCACCGAGCTGGCTTCGGTGTTCTGACGATTGCTGGCATGCGCAGGACATCCCCCAGGATGCGTCCTCGATGTGGTTGTGGTTCCCAGGCCCCCAACGTCATGTCTTCTGTTTTCTCCCCTTGAAGTCGACCCTCAGAGTAGTTTTCATCCTGAGTAGTTTTTTGAAGTCCTGGGGCCTGGTTAGGGCCCCCAGAGGCCAAAAATAGCGAAACACCGTCGTCGTGATTTGTTTATGCTTCGACGAGGGGGTGGTCGCAGGCCGGTTGCTGTTCCCGCAGGTCCTCGTCGCCGCCGCCGCCGAGCCACCGGCCAGAGGAGGAATCGAACGGGCTAGGACGAGAATAACTCCGTTACAGCGGGTTCCAGAACGCTCTGAGGAGGCCTCGGCGCCGAATGCATCCTCCAGAGCCGCCGGATCTCAGAGATTCAGGACTTACTCCGGATTCCATAATAAAGTCGGGGGGGGCACATTTAGGGGGGGGTCTGATTTGAGCTGTCTTGGAGGGTTCGGGGGGGTCTGGGCGAAGGCCGCCCTTTCATGGATGGTCTGGGAGGGTCTAAAACTTCTCGTCTGGGAGGGTTGAAACCCCCTTTTATTACGAAATCTGGAGTACCCTCACCCGACTTTGTCCTCGTTCTTGGGACCTTCGCAGACCGCCGCGAGGCGTCGCGCGCGAGCCGACGACGAACAACGACGACAAGAACTCCGCCGCCGACGACGACGCCGCCGCCGACGCCGACGACGACGACGACGAGAACGACGACGACGACGACGACGACGACGACGACGACGACGACGACGACGACGACGACGACGACGACGACGACGACGACGACGACGACGACGACGACGACGACGACGACGACGACGACGACTCGACGACGACGACGACGACGACGACGACGACGACGACGACGACGACTCGACGACGACGACGACGACGACGACGACGACGACGACGAGAACGACGACGACGACGGCGACGACGACGGGGCTTCGTCTCGAGGAGCGGCTGCCGACGCTGCTGGCGGCGCGCGGGAGCGGCGCGGCGCGCGCGCGGGGCCTGTCGCCGAAGGGCTCGCGCCGCCTGGCCGCGCAGGGCTCCGTGGGCGGGCTGCGGGCGGCGTCGCCCGGCGGCGCGTCGCCGGTGGCCTCGGCCCAGGAGGCTCTCGGGAGCCTTCAGACGGGGGTCGGTGCTCGGCGGCGAGCGAGGGGGGGGGAGAGCGAGAAGGGGAAGGCCTTCTCGCAGAAGGCGGCCAGGGCTTCTCAGAGGCCCTCAGCGCCTGCTGAGTGTTCTATTGTTTCCTCGGGGGAGGCTCAGGCAACTTCTCGGAAGGCTGGGGGACTTCTGAGCTTTCTGAGAAGGCTCGCCCCTTCTCACTTCCCCCCGGGCCCGCCGCCGACTTGAGACGAGGGATCAATGCAGGCGGGGGTCAGCCAGGGCGCCAGATCTTGCAGCATCCTGCAAGGCCAGGGTTGCATGGACCCGGATTAGCGCTCAGGATTTTGCAGGACCTTGTTGGTTTTTGCATGATGTCTTGCAAAGCCTGACTGACACGGGGTTGCATTGGCCCAGGGCAGTGGAATCCCGAGGCTCGGAGGAGGAAATGGCTCGGAGGAGAAAAGCCCAGACATGCAACGTCCTGACACACATCAGGGCGGAGGTTTTCTAAGTTTTCGGGCTTGGCCCTGACCGGGCCAAAGGACCGTCAACAGACGGCTCGGGATGAAGAATTGCCCCGTGGGAAAGGATCGGCACTTCCTGCGACCGCGCATTGAAAATATCAGGACCTCGCATGTTCGGGAAGTTACCAATGCCGCTGCCATGCCTTCTTGGGGCTCCTGGGAAGCCCTCGTGGCCACGGCCAGATTCGCCTTGATGATGAAGCAGCCCAGGAGAGGTTTGGGGAGTAGCTATATGGGTACCTATGTAGAAGACGCCTACGGCGAATCACCGCCGCCCCCCGCCTTCCAGAATCGCCCATGTGGCCGGGTGTTGTGACAAAAGTTCTGCCACGGTATCGGGCCATGTGTTCCCCCAACCGTTGTGGAAACCTTTCGGGGAACACTTGGGGGAGGATGGCGGGGAAGATCAAGAAAGAGGAGGCGGAGGAGGAGGAGGAGGAGGAGGAGGAGGAGGAGGAGGAGGAGGAGGAGGAGGAGGAGGCGAGGGCATCTTGGAAGCCTCTGGGGACACTCTTGGGGCCTCCTGGGAGCTTCCTGGGAGCGTCTTGGACCTTTGGGGGCTTCTCGGGGGCCTCTTTGGCCGTCTTGGTGGGCTCCTGGCCCGTCTGACGCCGTAAGAAGCCGTCGTGGGGGCCTCTTTGGGCCGACTTGGGGCTTTCTTGTGGTGCTCCAGGGCCGTCTTAGAGGCCATCTTGAGCGTCTTGGAGGCCTCTTGGGTCGTCTTGGGGGCCTTTTGGGGTCGTCTTTGGGGCCTCTTGGGCCGTCCTGGGGCCATACCGCAGACCTCTTGGGCGATCTTTGGGGGCTCTTGGGCCGTCTCGGGCCGTCGGAAGGCTGGAAAACAGCAAACGCCACAACCCTTAAAACTCATGGGGAATCACTGATTCTGGCCTTTTCGGGCCTTCCTGGAGGCCCTCTTGGAGGTCTCTTGGGCTGTCTTGGGCCATCTTAGGGCCATCTTCGGCCGTCTTGGTGGGCTCCTGGCCCGTCTGACGCCGTCGGAAGCCGTTTGCGGGGCCTTTCTGGGCGGGCCGACTTGGGGCTCTTTTGGGGTGCTCCAGGGCCGTCTTGGAGGCCATCTTGGGCGTCTTGAAGACCTCCTGGGCCGTCTTGGGGGCCTCTTGGGGCCCTCTTGGGCCGTCCTGGGGCCATCTTGGAGGCCTCTTGGGCGATCTTGGCGTCTCGGGCCGTCGGAAGGCCGAAAAGAAGCAAATGTCAAAATCCTTCAACAACCATAGGAAAATCAATGTTTTGGGCCTCTTCTGGCCTTCCTGGAGGCCCTCTTGGAGGCCTCTTGGGTCGTCTTGGGCCAGCCTAGAGCCAATTTCAGCCATCTTGGTGGGCTCCTGGCCCGTCTGACGCCGTCGGAAGCCGTTTGGGGGGCCTCGCTGGGCCGACTTGGGGCCCTCTTGGGGTGCTCCAGGGCCGTCTTAGAGGCTATCTTGGGCGTCTTGGAGGCCTCTTGGGTCGTCTTTGTGCCCTCTTGGGGCCGTCTTGTGGGCCTCTTGGGCAGTCCTGAGGCCATCTTGGAGGCCTCTCGGGCGCTCTGGGGGCGATCTTGGGGGCCAGGTTTGGGGGCCTCACATTTTTTTCAAGCTTGCTTAAGGCCTTCTGGAGGCCTCCTGGGCGTGTTCTGGGGGCCTCTGGGGGCTTCCTCGGGCCACCCTGCCTCCACCCGCGGTCTCCCTGAACGACCGGGTCACGTTGGAATACTTCGGAGGGTGTCTTTGGGCCATTTTGGATCGCCATGGGGCTCTCTTAGGGCCATCTTGAACCCCGGTTGTGCCGTTTTGGGGCTCTCTTGGACTGCATGGACGCCCTTTCGGATGGTTGTGGGGCGATTTTGGAGCCTCCGAGGCGGCTTCGGACGCCCAGAAGACCGCCGCTTTGGAGCGTCGGGAAGCCGAAAAGAGGATAACCCCAAAATTCACCAAGACTGTCAGAAAATCAATGGTTTTTGCCTCTAGCGACGGCGGCTTCTTGGGTGTCGTCGTGGACCGTATTGGGGCTCTCTGGGATCGTTTCGGGAGCGCGCCGGAACGCTTGGAACCCGTCTGGATCCGTCTTCGGCTCTCGTGAGGTTCTCCCGGGTCGTCTGAAGGGTTACCCGGAGGCCCGGGGAGTGCCAAATTCGTTAGGGTTTTTTTTTGTTTCTGGCGTCCCCGGCCCTATAAACATGTATGAATAGATAAATACAGATACACGTACATGGATACATACATACATACACGAATACATTCATACAGACATACATACATACATGCATGCGTGCATGCATGCATGCATACATCCATCCATCCATGCATGCATGCATGCATACATATATACATACATACATACTGAATAAACATATAAGTACATACATTAATGAACACATGCATACATACATCAACACACACATACATCAATCCGTACATACATGAATGTATGCATACATAAATAAGCAACCAAGTCAATATCTTAATGCATAACGATCTACATCAAACATTACATACATGAATCCATACATCAATATACATATATATATATATATATATATATATATATATATTCGATACATCGATAAATCAATCCATACATACATAATACATAGATAAATGAATACATACGTAAGTACATGAATAAGTACATACATACAAACATGATTAAGTATATATATAATGAATTAATGAATTAATGAGTGAATGAATTAATGATTGAATGAGTGCGTGAATAAATATATAATACATCTTTGTCTCTCTCTCTATATATATATAAGAGTAGGCCAGGGGGGGAAGGCGGGTCGGTGCCACAGTTGGTCATGGGGGCCCAGGGGCTCCTGGACGGCTCCGAGGGCTTCCGCACAGCCCATCGACGCCCGTCGGGTTGGCTCCAGAGGGCCCCGAGTTTTCCCCAGTCTGGCCTCCAGGGATTTCAGACGGCTCAAGACAGCCTCCAGACGTTTAGACCCGCTCAAGACAGCCCAAAAGGGCTTCAGTCAGGAGACCTCTGGGACACTTCCGACGAGCCAAAAGTTTTTGGACACAAATGAGAAATCTATGATTTCTGCCTTCTCGCCATTTTGCCTCTGATGGGCCGCTGAGGCCTATGGATCGGCACCACGAGGCCTCAGGACGCTCCCCAAAGGCGCCCAAGCGGCCCTCAGAAGCTCCGAGATGCCCCCAGGGGTCGCGGACGGCTCTAGACAGGCTCCGGACACCTCAAGAGGCGCTCAAGACAGCCCCAGGAGGCCTCTGCTCTGGCCATTGTCGCTCCAGCAGTTTTGGCTCCAGTGCAGAACTTTCGCACCGAACCTAAATCAGGAGGAAAAGAAACACACAGACACAATTAATCGTCGACTCCCAGGAAAATATGCAAAAATATGGGAAGTGGGGGGGAAGACAAAAACCCAGAAAATATGGGAAAATATGGGGAATATTTTTATTTGTGTGTATTTATTTGTGTGTCCTAATTTACCTTTAACCTAACCTGAGCCCACGCCGAGCTTCCCAGACGGCGGGGCTGCACGTGTTGGCGGTTGCGGCCGCCCTGATGCTGATCCGATCGGCGGTCGGGCTCGACGCTCGGCCTGTCCGGCCCGCTGTCGCCAGCGAGCGCGCGGCACGCGAAGCGAACCGCGACGATGTCATCATCGGTGATTTCGCTGCCGCCGGCAGGGATACGGACGAGGAGGACGACTTCGACACGTGGTATTTCCAGCACGCTGGAGACGCCAGCAGGTTCTCAGCGGGGCTCGAATCCGGTGGCCCCGAGAAGAAGGGGCCCGACCCTGAAGAGAAGTCGCGCGCCTCGGAAGCGTGGGACCACTGCCATCAAGGATACTTCTCCCACGGAGCAGCGCCACTCGAAAATGGTGTCATCGTTTACCTGGTGACCAGACAGTCAGATCTGAATATGTGTTGTGACGGCTTGTCAAGACTTCGCTATTTCATATTGAAGCATTGGGCGTACGACGTGAAAGTGTTCGTCCCCAGTAAAGAGTTGCGCGAGTATGATCTTTCTAGCTTCGCAAGTTCCCCCTCCCGCGAACGAGTGATGAAGGTTGCACAGGAAGTTTTGGGCAACGATACCTAGAACTTTGAGGTTGAAGATTTCGATCTCGCCTTCCCAAAGGTCATCGCCGACGATGACGCTTGGGAGGGGAAGATGAACGATTGTGCAAAAGCCGTGAGTACAAGCTACAAGCGCATGAACCAGTTTTTTACCAAGGCGATGTACCAGCATCCGGCCTTTGATAAGTAAGAGTATTATCTGCGCATAGATGCCGACTTTTATTTCAAAGCTGGTTCCGATGGAACGTCGATCCAGGCAGATTTACTCTGCATCATGGCGAAGACCGGTCGGAAGTTTGTGTGGCAGACGCGTAGACAAGTCCATAATCAGATGTGCACAGAAGGCCTTTGGGAATGGTTCGAAGAGCATCACCAGTCGCAGGATTTGGCACCCCGTGATCCTGTAGATGTGGAATGCTCTGGCGGCGCGGTGGTCGGACCAGACGTGCTGCGTCCTCCTCTTCGCCCTCTTCGAGCACCGCTCCGCGGTCGGCGACGTGGGCTCTGGTGGGCGCCTGGGCAGCTGGTGCCACGAGTGCTTCGACCCTCGAGGCTTCGCTCCTCTCACTGGTGAGAATTGCACGCCGATCGTTGAAAGTGGGTCTTCTCGGACTCCCAGATCCCAGTCTACTTCAAGCGCCTTCCTACTTCAAGACTCGGCACGCTCTTGCTGTGTTTTGTTATTCTCTGGGAGGGCCTGGACCCAATCTTCTTTACCCGCCTTTCTGCTTCATGTCTTTACCTACTTCTTCCGACCGACGTGTATGAGTGAGGTAGTCGTAGGTTCTGCTTACAGGGCACGGGCGGCATGCTGAAGAGCATCCGCTTCCGTGCACATCTTCACCCACTGCCTACGCGCTGTGGCCTGCGCAAGGTTTCTACGGGAACGTACATTTTAGCATATTTGCCTTCGTGAGTTCAGCACCCAAGAGGTCTTCATGATCGCCCCGGGACTGCCCAAGAGGCAGGGAGGGGCAACAACTTCACACGCCGTGGACCAAGGGGTCATCGGATTGAGTATCACGTCCTCACCTGGCGAATTTTCTGCGCAAAGCAGAGCGCCGCACGTCGAGTTGTAGCTGTCTGGCCTCTCGGCCATCGCCAGCTTGCCACACAAGAGCAGGACAAACTCTTTTGCCATAATTGTTGTCATCCTCATCTCTCTTCTGCGTGTCCATTGCCCTGCTAGTTTTTTTTTTTGTTTTTCTCTCTCTCTCTCTCTCTTCTGACGCCCCGCAAACTTTCGCAGGAGGCGATCCATGGATCCAGCGCTCTCGCAGCTCATTGCCACTGTCGAGAAAGACAGCGGCTGCGTAGGTGCACACAACTTTTCTCATCCGGCCAAAGGCAATGCCAGGCTAATGCCAGGCTGAGTTGCTCGAGATTTGTCGGATGATTGAATCGCTTCGCTCAATCCGCCGGCCCATATCGAAGACGCCTACGGCGAATCACCGCCGCCCCCCGCCTTTAGAGTCGCACACGTGGCCGAGCGTTGTGGCAAAGGCTCTGCAAAGGTATCAGGCCACGTGTTCCCCCAACCGTTGTGGAACCCCCTCGGGGAACACTTGGGGGAGGATGGCGGGGAAGATCAAGAGGAGGCGGAGGAGGAGGAGGTGGAGGAGGAGGAGGAGGAGGAGGAGGAGGAGGAGGAGGAGGAGGAGGAGGAGGAGGAGGAGGGAGGACGAGGGTGCATCTTGGGAGCCTCTGGGGACACTCTTGGGGCCTCCTGGGAGCTTCCTGGGAGCCTCTTGGACCTGTGGGGGCTTCTCGGAGGCCTCTTTGGCTGTTGGTGGGCTCCTGGCCCGTCTGACGCCGTCGGAAGCCGTCTTGGGGGCCTCTCTGGGCCGACTCGGGGCCCTCTTGGGGTGCTCCAGGGCCGTCTTGGAGGCCATCTTGAGCGTCTTGGGGGCCTCTTGGGGCCGTCTTGGCATCTTGAGCGATCTTTGGGGGCTCTTGGGCCGTCTCAGGCCGTCGGAAGGCCGGAAAACAGCAAACGCCACAATCCTTTAAAAACTTATTGGAAATCACTGATGTTGGCCTTTTCGGGCCTTCCTGGAGGCCCTCTTTGAGGCCTCTTGGGCCGTCTTGGGCCATCTTAGGGTCATCTTCGGCCGTCTTGGTGGGCTCCTGGCCCGTCTGACGCCGTCGGAAGCCGTTTGCGGGGCCTCTCTGGGCCGACTCGGGGCCCTCTTGGAATGCTCCAGGGCCGTAGGCCAGGGCGTCTTAAAGGCCTCCTGGGCCGTCTTGGGCCCTCTTGGGGCCGTCTTGGGGGCCTCTTGGGGCCGTCCTGGGGCCATTTTGGTGGCCGCTTGGGCGATCTTGGGGCGATCTTTGGGGGCTCTTGGGCCGTCTCGGGCCGTCTCGGGCCGTCGGGAGACCGAAAAGAAGCAAATGTCAAAATCCTCCAAGAACCTTTGGAATATCAATGTTTTTGGCCTCTTCTGGCCTTCCTGGAGGTCCTCTTGGAGGCCTCTTGGGCCGTCTCGGGCCAGCCTGGAGCCCACTTCGGCCATCTTTGTGGGCTCCTGGCCCGTCTGACGCCGTCGGAAGCCGTTTGGGGGGCTTCTCTGGGCCGACTCGGGGCCCTCTTGGGGTGCTCCAGGGCTGTCTTGGAGGCCATCTTGAGCGTCTTGGAGGCCTCTTGGGGCCGACTTGGAGGCCTCTTGGGGCCGTCTTGGCCTCTTGATCGATCTTTGTGGCGATCTTGGGCCGTCTCGGGCCGTCGGAAGGCCGGAAAACAGCAAACGCCACAATCCTTTAAAAACTCATGGGAAATCACTGATGTTGGCCTTTTCGGGCCTTCCTGGAGGCCCTCTTGGAGGCCATCATGGGCGTCTTGGATGCCTCTTGGGTCGTCGTTGTGCCCTCTTGGGGCCGTCTTGGGGGCCTCTTGGGCAGTCCTGAGGCCATCTTGGAGGCCTCTCGGGGGCCTCTGGGGGCGATCTTTGCGGCCTCTTGGGCCGTCTTGGGTCGTCGGAAGACCAAAACGGCACAAATGCCAAAATCCTTCAACAACCTTATGAACACCACCGATTTTGGCCTCTTCGGGCCTTCTGGAGGACCTTTTGGAGGCCTCTTGGGCCGATTGGAGGCCTCTTGGGGGCCTCTTGGGCCGTCTTGGGCCATCTCGATGCCATTTTAGGTTGTCTTGAGTGCATCTTGGCTTGTCTTGGAGGCATCTTTGAGCCATCTTAGCTGTCTTGGAGGCCATCTTGGCCGTCTTGGATGCATCTTGGAAGCCATTTTGGGCCGTCTTAGAGCCGTCTGGAGCAGGAACAACAACCCTTTGCAACCGGGTCTGGGCAATCTTTTCGGGTGGCCGGCGGGACGCGCCGAAGCACTAGGGGGAGTTCTTTTGGAAAAAAACCAACACCAAAACCGAGAGGATCCAGCACGCCAGGCACCCCTGTGATGAATCAACAGGGGGCGGCGGATCGAGTGGCCTTCGGTTCATCCCGCCACTGTGCCTGGATTGCGGGTCAGAGTCATCAGGGATGTTTCTTGGGGTCTCTCTGGAGCGCCCTCGGGGGCCTCCTGGGCGCAGTTTGAGGGCCTCTTATGGGCCTCTTGGGGGCCTCTTGGGAGCCTCTTGGGGGCCTCTTGGGGGCCTCTTGGGGGCCTCTTGGGGGCCTCTTGGGAGCTTTGTTGGGGGCCTCTTGGGGGCCTCTTGGGAGCCCTCTGGGGATCTCCTGGGAGCCTCTTGGTGGCCTCTCGGAGAGATTCCTGGGTGTCTCTTTTGGGGGCCTCTTTTGGGGGCCTCTTTTGGGGGCCTCTTTTGGGGGCCTCTTGGGGGGCCTCGTGTGGGGGGCCTCCTGGGGCCCCTCGCGCGGCCGAGGGCTCGACATTTCCGTTTGGGTTCCCCGTTTTTTGGCCTCAAGTCGGGCTTGTCCCTCTACACACATTATATATATATATATACACGCACATATCTATATGTATATATATATATATATATATATATATACAATTTAATGTATATACATAAAAAGATTTGCTTCATATCATAGTCTATCTTATTTAATCGCTTCGCTCATTCCGCCGGCCCTGTAGCACTTTTGGGGGCCTCTTGGGGCTGTCTTGGGGGCCTCTTGGGGACTTCTTGGGCGCGTCTTGGGGCCTCTTCGCGGCGTCTTGGGCTCCCCTGGGGCCTCTTGGGGGGCTCTTGGGGGCCCCTTGGCGCGGGAGGGGGGGTAGTCGATTACAGTCACCCCCTCGGAGGCCACGATCCTCGTGAGGGGTGGCGAAAATAGCCTCCCCACTGGGGATCGCCCGGGACCCGGCCAGGGGCCGGGGTACTTTTCGTCCAGGGGCCCCCAGGGGCCGGGGTACTTTTCGGCCAGGGGCCGCGCGCGCGAACTAGAAATATTGTTAAGTAGTTGCCGGAGATCTTAGCGCGCCTCTGGCCCGTTGGGCCGGCGAATTATATTATAAGTTGTGTGTATGTAGGGACCGGGGGATTCGGGGAACCCAGCGGGCTCCAAGATCGCTCGACAATTGTCCCCAAGCGGCCAAAGGGGGAGCCCAGACGGGGAACCCGAACGGACATTTCGAGCTGTCCGCCTGAAGATGGCCCCAAGAGCCCCCCGGAGGCCTCCGACGCGCCCCAAAGAGGCTCCAAAAGACCCCCGAGAGGCCCCCAAGAAGCCCCAAGAAAAGCGCCCATGGGGCCAAAATCACGGACTCTAACAATAATTTGGAGCCTTCCGCCTCAAGATGAACCCTATTAGTCTTCCAGAGGCCTCCGAGACTCCCCCCAAGAGGCCCCCCCAAAGTCCCCAAGAAGACCCAAACGGCTTTTGAGAGGGTCCCCAGAAGCTCCCAGCAGCCCTCAAAAAGCTCTCCAAGAGGCATCGCTATGGGCCGAAGGCCAATCGACCTCGCTTTCAATACGTGGACCGACAGAGCGATACCGAACGAGCTGTAGAGCCAGAGAGCATTGAATGTATTGTACATGAAACCCTGCAAACACCACATCTAAAACATAGATGCCACTGTCTTCTGACAACGGGCGCCGCGGAGCGCACAGAGAGAGGGAAATGAAGGAGGAGGATGAGGTGCTACTGCTTCCAACGTACGTGATCTGGGACAACTAGCTACCAGGCGCATGTACATAGTCCCTGATCGACCGTTCCGTGTTGTCATGCCACTTGTTGCGGAGTTGGTGGTCGCCCATTTTTGTCGAAGTTGGCGGAAGCAACGACAGCCGCTTTGGAATTGGCACCACAGCCGCGACTACGAATACATCTTGCGCGTCGATGTGCCACTACCACCGCCACACACTTTCATACGTTGCTACCACGCCGCCACGCACCAGGAGGCCTCCAAGAGGGCCTCCAAGAAGGCCCGTAGAGGCCAACATCATTGATTATCCCTTGGTTTTTGAAGGATGTTGGCGTTTGCTTCTTTTCGGCCTTCCGACGGCCCGAGACGGCACAAGAGCCCCCAAAGATCGCCCCACAATCGCCCAAACGGCCTCCAGGATGGCCCAAGAGGCCCCCAAGACGGCCCCAAGAGGGCCCCAAGCAGCCCAAGAGGCTTCCAAGACGCCCAAGATGGCCTCCAAGACGGCCCTGGAGCACCCCAAGGGCTTTTGGGGCTCCAAGTCGGCGTCAGACGGGCCCTGAGCCTGCCAAGACGACCCAAGATGGCCCTATGATGGCCCAGGAGGCCTCCAAGAGGGCCCCCAGGAAGGCCCGAAGAGGCCAACATCATTGATTTTCATTCGGTTTTTGAAGGACGAGTGCGTTTGCTTCTTTTCGGCCTTCCGATGGCCCGAGAGGGCCCAAGCCCCCCACGATCGCCCCTGGGCCCCAAGCAGCCCAAGAGGCCTCCAAGACGTCCAAGATGGCCTCCAACACGGCCTTGGAGCACCCCAAGGGGGCTCCAAGTCGGCGTCAGACGGGCCCTGAGCCCACCAAGACGGCCCAAGATGGCTCTAAGATGGCCCAGGACGGCCCTTGTGGCATTGCTTCTTTTCGGCCATCGACGGCCCGATACGGCCCAAGAGCCTCCAAATATCGCCCCAAGATCGCCCAAGAGGTTTCCAGGATGGCCCCAGAACGAAATAAGAAGCCCCCACAAGACGGCCCCAGAAGGGCCCCAAGACGGCCCAAGAGGCTTCCAAGGCGCCCAAGGTGGCCTCCAACACGGCCCTGGAGCACCCCAAAGGTGCCCCAAGTCGGTGTCAGACGGGCCCTGAGCCCACCAAGACGGCCCAAGATGGTTCTAAGATGGCCCAAGACAGCCCAGGAGGCCTACAGAGGGCCTCTCCAGGAATTCCCGAAGAGGCCAACATCATTGAACATCAATGGTTTTGGAAGGATTTTGGCATTTACTTCTTTTCGGACTTCAACAGCCCGAGTCGGCCCGATAACCCCCAAAGATCGCCCCAAGATCGCCCAAGAGCCCCCAGGATGGCCCCATAACGGCCCAAGAGGCCCCCAAGACGGCCCCAGAAGGGCCCCAAGACGGCCCAAGAGGCTTCCAATGCGCCCAAGGTGGCCTCCAAGACGGCCCTGGAGTACCCCAAGAGGGCCCCAAGTCGGCCCAGAGAGGCCGGCAAAACAGTTTCCGACGGCGTCAGACGGGCCCTGAGCCCACCAAGACGGCCGACGAAGATGACCCTAAGAGGGCCCAAGACGGCCCAGGAGGCCTCCAAGAGGGCCTCTCCAGGAAGGCCCGAAGAGGTCTTAGGTTTTTGAAGGATTTGGGCATTTCTTTTCGGCCTTCCGACGGCCAGGGACGGCCCAAGAGCCCCCCACGATCGCCCCAAGATCGCCAAAGAGGCCTCCAAGGTGGCCTCAGAACGTCCCAAGAGGCCTCCAAGACGGCCCCAAGAGGGCCCCAAGCAGCCCAAGACGCTTCCAAGACGCCCAAGATGGCCTCCAAGACGGCCCTGGAGCACCCCAAGGGCTTTGGGGGCTCCAAGTCGGCGTCAGACGGGCCCTGAGCCCGCCAAGACGACCCAAGATGGCCCTAAGATGACCCAAGACGGCCCAGGAGGCCTCCAAGAAGGCCTCCAGGATGGCCCGCAGAGGTCAATCTCTTTGATTTTCTTTCAGGAGGCCCCTGAGAGGACCCCAAGACGGCCTCAAGAGAGCTTCAAGCAACATAAGAGAGCTTCAAGACGGCCCAAGAGAGTCCCCAGGAAGCCCCCACCAGAGGATCTCTGCACGGTCGGAGAGGGCCCCAAGAGGGCCCCAAGGCGGCCTCTGCCCCCCATGACGGGCCACGAGGGACCTAGGACGGCCGAACAGTGCCCACAGACGGGCCAAAAAAGGCCCCAAAGGACTCTCAAGGGATGCCCGAAGAGGTCCCAGAGACTCCCACGATGCTTCCAAAAGACTCGCATGAGGCGTCCCAGTAGGCCCCCGTAAGCTTATGGGAGGTCTCGCGTCTATTACGTCATGCAAGATCCATCTCAGGGCTCCCAGAGGCCCCACAGAAACATGCTGCGGGGCGCCAGGAAGCAACCAGGACACCCCGAACTCACGGTCGAGGGCAGGGGTGTACCGCCATGGGCGGGAGGGCGGCATACGAACGTTGGTTTTGGGACTGTCCGTGGAGCTCCCAGTGGGACACGATTCACGTGAGAAACCCAATCGCCCTAGCGGGAGGTGACGTTTCCAAATCCTCCCACAACGGGGCACGTGAAACCGCGTCCTTCTGGCGCACAATCCGTATGATGGGCGCGCTGAGACGGCCTGAAGGACGCCGTCGTGGCCATGGGGCTCACTGCTTCCCTCGGGGTTTCCTGGGGGTCTCCTCTCTGTTCTCTCGTCGTCGTCGTCGTCGTCGTCGTCGTCGTCGTCGTCGTCGTCGTCGTCGTCGTCGTGACAGTCGTCGCAGATGTCGTCGTCGTCCTCGCAGTTGCGGCGCCGTTGTCGTCGCCGCCGCTGCTCCCGTCGTCTGCCACGCTGCTGTCCGCGATGCCGGGGGGGCCCGGGGCCAGGGGCTCGACGGCGCACTGGGGGGCTCGGGGAGGAGGAGGAGGAGGAGGAGGAGGAGGAGGAGGAGGAGGAGGAGGAGGAGGGCCTCTGGGGCGCCGGGGAATCCTTCCCAGGCGCCCGCGGTCGCCTCCAGCTTGCCCACCGCGCTCCCGGGGGCTTCTCCACGAGGGCTCCCAGAGGGCCCAGCCGCGCCCCAGACGATCTGCGCTCCCGAGGCGCTCCACGAAGGCTCCCAGACGACCCAACCGCGCGCCCCCGACGATTCAAGCAAGCCCTGGCGGCCCCCAAGAGGGCCACAAGAAGCAGCAATCATGATTTTCCGTCGGGTTTTGATGCTTTTGGAGTCTTCCTCTGCCTTTTCGGTTTTCCGACGCTCCAACCCAGCCCCAGAAGCACCACCACCCGCGTCAAGACGGTTTCGGGAGTTTCCCCCAGGCTCCAAAACACTTCCAGGACAGCACAACAGGGCACCGAGTTGCGCCCGAGTCGCCAGAAATTCACTGCCAGACGACCGTATCTGTCTCCAGACCCCCCTCAAAATGAAAATCCCAAGGGACTTACAGTTTTTTATCTCTCGGGGCACTCGTCTTGGGCCTCGGGAGCCCACTGACGCCTTCCTGGGACCGGCCTGGCGCAGGCTGGAAGCCTTTGGAGGCCGTTCACAAGGCATCTTCGGCGCTCTCGGGGTGTGTTGGACGGATCTGGAAGATGGTCGTACCAATTTGTGTGCCATTTATGCGCCCATGGGGCCACTTTGGGGGCCACGAGGGCGCCCCTGGGGTCACTGGGGCGAATGCGTATCCGGGGCCGTGATCTTGGGCTTACCCATGGGCACCAAGGGAAGCTCAAGATGGCCGAGTCCAATTGAACACACCGATGTTCAACGCCCCCGAAAGCCCCAAGAGAGGCCCAGTACGGTTCAAAGATACATATGTCTCGCGACGCTTCTTCGACGGCCCGGGGAAGGCCGAAGCGGAGCTTAGGAATCGCACGTTGTCCCGAGAGGCTCCCAACACCCCACAAGCTTCCAAACTATTGCCCTGCACTTCCTCCTCCTTCCTTTCGCCGTCGTCGTCGTCGTCGTCGTCAGCCAGCCAAGCAGCATTTGAAATGATCTTTCATCCCGATGAGGGGGCCGACAATGAAGCAGAGAATGTTATGTTTGTATAACCACGCCGTTTCGAGGCACGCCTCCACCCTCAGCCTTCAGCGCTCGAGTGAGCACCGTGCCTGCACGCCCATACATGCTATAAGGACATATTCTGGCGGCGGGTTTTCAATGATGATGTAAACTATAGGAGACAACGATATGCGTCATAGATGTAGTCACCGTCCGTTCATCACATCATAGCCCCCTCAGCCGATGAAGAAGTCGTCGTCGTCGTCGTTACCATCGAGGAAGGCCCGAGATTCAATGCGCCCCAAGAAGGTCCAATCTGTTCCACGAGAGGGCTCCAGAAGGCCCAATCCTGCCTCTTTTCTACAGGACAATGCACCTGTTCAGCATGTTCGCCCTTGGGGTCTTACGAGAGTCCAAGACTGCCCAAGAGGCCCTCAAGATCGCCACAAGGCAGCCCAAGAGGCCCCCAAGAGGTCCGCAGGACGGCTCAGGAGGGCCCCAAAGGGAGGCATTCCAGACCGCCTAACATGCCCAGAAGACGCCCCAAGAGGGTCCCAAGAAGACCCCACAGAGGTTCCCAAGAAAGGTGTGTCGTCCCCAATCATTCGGGCAAGCTAGCATGTTTAACATATCCGTTCTTTTGGTCTGAACAGCGTCCGCGACGGCCCAAGAGGCCCCAAGATCGCCCAGAGACGGCCCAAGAGAGCCCCAAGACGGCCCAAGAGCGTCCAAAGACGGCCCACGAGGCGCCCAAGATCGCCCAAGAGGGCCCCAAGACGGCCCAAGAGGGGCCCAAGAGGGGGAACACGAACCGACAATTCGAGCCTTGTGCCCCGCGGGCTCGGAGGAGCACTGCTTTGGCGCGGTAGCGCTGCATTTTTCCTGGCCCATAGCTTGGCGACAGATCACTTGTCGACGATGCTCAGTTTGCCTCCTCCTGCTGCCCCTCGAGCCGACGGTCGGGAAGCGCGTTGTCGGCGAGCACCCCACGGGCTCGGAGGAGCAATGCTTTGTGGTCGAGCTCAGCCGCAGGGGAAAAATGCGGCTGTTTTTCTGCAGATTTGCACGTGCGGGCTCCTTGACACGAGTGTCATTGCTTGCCCCAAGTGCTCCGCAGCAACGCTCATTCATGTACTAACACTATGCGTTTCGGTAGTCACGACAGAGCTAACCGTATCAGTGCATCTCACAGTATGGTTCAGCGTGCCACATCATCGCATTACGTAGCAGTGTCTAGCTGAGCCTAGCACTGCACGTCACTACGTAACAGTGTCTAGCATGGCATGGCATCTCATGACACATCGTGGCGTTCTATGGCATTCCAATGCACATCAACCAGTCGAACAGCTCCGTACTGCTCTGCGCTACAGTACACAGACATCATGCAACTATCACACCCCCGTTGTTGCTCTTACTGCCGTTCTCTTTTTTAGCCTAGCAGCTCATAACATGGCATGACATTGCATTGCATTGCATTGCATTGCATTGTATACCACAGTATGTCGTGTCTGTGCATACCATGTAACGTGGTAGCATCGCTCTTCATAGAAAACATCGCATGGTATAGCTCAGCGTATCATTCCATGTCTGATCCTAGCATTTCACAGCACAGCATGGTATGGCATGCAATGCGCACTGTAAGCTATATCATGCCATTGCATTGCGTACAGCATAGTGGCATTGCGCTTTAGAGCGTAGCATGGTGCATCATGGCATTCCATAGCATAGTGCAACACGATAGGCAGGTACGTTTACCTTGGCGCTTCCAGGTGCATATCAGTACGATTTCCCGTTTCCCCTCTCAAGTTTCTCTTCCTCACGCGTGCGACGGAAGTGTTTTTGGGTTCCTCGCCAGTGCCCACGAGGGGCACATCTGCGTGCTCGCCTCCTGCAAGCTTTGCAAAGGAACAACAAACATAGTCGATGCAACTATCGATCACATTGTCGATCTCGCTCAATCGATCACACTACCGATCGCACTTACGACCTCGCTGTCGACGTCAGAACCGATCACCATCGATCTCACTGTCGATTTCACGGTTGAAATTACTCTATCGATCTCACGTTCGATTTCACGATCGAACTCACTGCCGATCTGACCATCGATATCATTATCAATTGCAATCGATCTCACGATCGATCTCACCATCGATCTCATTATTGATCTCACTCAATCGGTCTCACGATCGATCTCAGTGTTGTTCTAACTATCAATCTCACGATCGATCCGATGCTCTCTTGGGCTGTGGTGGCGCTCTGCTTGGGCTCTCTTGGGCAATTTTGAGGTTCTTTGGAGGCTCTGGAAACCTGCCTCTAATCCGATGTTGGACCCCTGGGGAGGGGGCAAAGGGAAGTGGGACACCTACATGTCTCACACGCCTTGTAACCCTGGGCAAGCGAGTGTCGACTGACGCCTTCACCCAAACTCATAATTCTTGTCCCTTCCCCTCTCTCGCCCGTCATCCCACAAAATGGGGAGGCGGATGATCCCACTGTGCTCTAACGCTTCCCTGGCCTGCGCTAGAACGTAAGCGCGCGCGAAGCGCGCGCGTGGTTTCTAGTGTGTGTGTATATATATATGTATGTATGTATATATATATATATATGTATACGACCGCCCTGCGGGCGGTAAGGAGGTTGGGGGGGGATTGAGATCAAATGCCCGCCCTGACTGACTTCCAGCCTGTCACCTTGATCTCATCTCTCTCTTTCTCTCTGTCTCTCTCTCTCTCTCACTCTCTGTCTCTCTCTCTCTCTCGCCCTCTCTCTCTCTCTCTTTCCTTCCCTATGGGTCGGAGAAGATAAGTAAGATGGAACAAGATGGGTTGGGTAAGATAAGATGGATTGGATTGGAAAAGATGGATTGGATAAGATAAGCTGGATTGGATAAGAAAGCCCGCCGCAGGCGCTGAAAAACATGACTTATGAAATTAGCGAAATGCGTTAGCGCCGGGACGCTCAGGACACCCGGGACACCCGGGGCACCGCCCGGCTCAAATGGGACACCTCCCGGCCACCGGCGGACGGGAAACGGATTTTCGCTCCTACTGACACCGGGGACACCCGGGACACCGCCCGGCCCAATTGGGACGCCTCCCAGCCACGGACGGACGGGAAATGGACTTTCGCTCCTACTTCGGCCTAGCTACAGGAGGATCATGCGCAGTTTCGCCTCGCCCGCACGCACGACATGAACACGAAACCGAAGCCGATTTCCCGGTGGGGGTCTCCGTTTCACTGCGATCTCACCCCCGAACCTCCGATATATACCTATACCTATACGACCACCCTTCGGGTGATAAGGAGGTTCGTTGGGAGGAACCAACGTCTCACTATCGATCTTATTATCGATCTCACTATCGGTCTCGCTCGATCGATCTCACTCGATCGATCTCACAATCGATATCACTCGATCTATTTCATTCGATCGATCTCACAATCGATATGACTATCGATCTCACAATCGATTTGACTATCGATGTCACTGTCAATCTCACAATCTATCTCACATTCGGACTCACTATCGATATCACTATCGATATCACAATCGATCTCACAATCAACGTCATCGTCATCATCATCATCATCGACATCATCGCCATCAACGTCATCAACATCATGGACAATATCGTCAACATCATCATCATCGGGACACCATCTCCATAATCACCTCATCACCATGATCATCAATATCATCATCACCATCGTCATCATCGGGACACCATCATCGTCACCATCATCATCAACATCATCATCATCGGGACACCATCATCATCATCGTAAGACCACCGTCGTCATCCCATCATCATCATCATCATCATCATCATCATCATCATCATCATCATTAACAACATCGTCAACATCATCATCATCATCATCAGCAACATCCTCATCAACATCGTCAGCATCTGGACACCATCATCATCGCTACCGTCATCATCACCATCATCGTCATCATCGGGACACCATCATCACCATCATCAACATTAGCATCATCATCAACGGACCACCATCATCCAAATCGTCATCACCTCATCATCATTTTCATCATCAACATCATCATCACCATCGAAGACCATCATCGTCATCATCAACTGCACCATCACCATCAACATCATCATCATCGGGGCATCATCATCACCATCATCATCATCAACAGCATCATCATCAACCTCATCATCATCATCATCATCATCATCATCATCATCATCATCATCATCATCATCATCATTTGGACACCATCATCATCATCATCATCATCATCATCTTCATTGTCATCATCTCGTCATCTCATCATCTTCAACATCATCGTGATCATCAACACCATCATCACCCCATCATCATCATGAGCAACATCAGCATCATCAACATCATCATCATCATCATCATCGGGACACCATCATTATCACCATCATGGCCATCATTCTCATCACCATCACTATCATCACCATCATAAGGACACCATCATCGTCACCATAATCACCATCAGCATCATCATCATCGGGACATCATCATCCTCATCATCATCATCATCATCGGAACACCACCATCATCATCATCATCATCCCACCATCGTCATCATGAAGAACATCATCAACATCATCATCATCGGGACACCATTATCATCATCAGCAACCTCATCATCGTCCACACCGTCATCATCGGGACACCATCATCATCGTCACCATCATTGTTATCACCATCATCATCATCATCATCGGCACACCACCATCATCATCAACATCATCAGCATCATCATCATCGGGCCACCACCATCAAAATATCCATCTTCACCTCATCATCATTTTCATCATCAACCTCATCATCATCATCGGGACACTATCATCGTCATCATCAATCAACATCATCATCGTCGGGACACCATCATCATCATCTTCATCATCATCAACAGCATCATCAGAAACCTCCTCCTCATCATCATCGGGACACCATCATCATCGTCATCATCATCATCATCTCATCATCATCAACATCAACATGATTATCAACATCATCGTCATCTTCATCGGGACACCATCGTCATCATCAGCAACGTCAGCATCATCAACATCATCATCATCATCATCATCATCGGGACACCATCATCATCACCGCCATGGCCATCATCATCATCATCATCATCATCAACATCGTCTTCACCATCATCATCATCATCATCATCATCATCATCATCATCATCATCATCATCATCATCGGGACACCGACGGGACACCGACGGGACACCGGCGGGACACCGGTGGGACACCGCGGGGCACCGGTTGCCAAAGGAAGACTTTTGGTCCGGCCGCGCCTCAGCCAGAGGCGGGACATTTCTCGCCCGCCCACCCAGTTTCGCCTCGCCCGGACGCACGGCACGCACGAACACGAAACCGAAACCGATTTCCCGGTAGGGGAGCTCTTTGTTCCACTTCGATCTCACCCCCTCACCTCCGACGACCACCCGTCGGGTGATAAGGAGGTTGTGTGTGGGGGGGGGAGGGGGGGGAACCAACATCTGACTCAATCGATCTCACTATCGATCTCACTCAACGGGACACCACGGGACACTTATCGATCTCACTATCGGTCTCACTATCGATCTCACTTAACGGGACGCCACGGGACACCCCGGGCAACCACGGGCCACCACGGCCGCCACGGGACATCTCTCGATCTCACTATTGGTCGATCGATCTCGGTCAACGGGACACCACGGGACACCACATCGATCGCACTATCGGTCTCAGTCAACGGCACTCCACGGGGCACCGAGGGACATCTCGGTGCACCATATCGATCTCACTATCGATCTCACTATCGATTTCAGTCAACGGGACACCACGGGACACCTGTCGATCTCACTATCGATCTCACTATCGATCTCAGTCAACGGGACACCACGGGCCACCACGGGACACCGCGGGACACCTCTCGATTTCACTATCGGTCTCACTATCAATCTCACCATCGATCTCACTCAATGGGACACTTTAGGACACCACGGGGCACCGAGGGATACCTGTCGGTCTAACCATCACTATCGATCTCACTCAACGGGACACCACGGGACACCGCGGGACACGGCGGGACACTTGTCGATCTCATTATCGATCCCATTTTTTGGGACACCACGGGACACCGCGGGACACCTGTCGATTTCATTATCGATCTGCCTATCGATTTCACTTTTTTGGGACACCACGGGACA